TTTTTGTCATGATTATTATTATTATATGATTATTATGTTTGTATAGTTTGGATCAGACGTCACAGAACATCAYATTTTTACTAAACTGACAAAATACTGGGAGGAAGAATTCCACCAAGATATGAAAGCATTGAATGTAAGTCAATCATAATTAAGCAATTCAGGTTTTTTTATATTAACAATAGTTATTCTATACCCATTCCCCACCCCTCCCTCTTGTGGAGAAAATCCTGCCCAGGGGTTGGGGGCAGAAAATTGATTTTCTCAAACAATTCTGCTGTACCTAATTGACTTTCATTAATGAACTATTTCAGGTTTTGCCAGCTGATTGCTTGACTAGAATTACTCAATATGTTCCTGAAGTTGTCTTGTTCATTGAAAAAGTGATATCTAATGGATTTGCGTAAGTGCCAGCTCATGAACTTAATCGTGATTATGACGATAATGATGATGATGGCAATGTCTAGGAAAATGATGGTGATGGTGATGATAAAGATGACAACAATGATGATGACGATGATGATAATGATAGTGCTGATGGTGATATTGATAACAACAATGGTGATGATGATGATGATGATAATGATGATGATTATGATGACGACGATGATGATGACGACGATGATGATGATGATGACGATGATGATGATGACTATAAAAACTATGATGATGATATTGAAATGTTATTATCATCACTTCAATCTCAATCTTTAGTTATGAATCAAATGGTTCTGTGTACTTTGATACAATCAAGTTTGGATCCAGTGATAAGCACAGCTATGCCCGTCTTGTCCCTGAAGCAGTTGGGGATYTRCAGGCTCTTGCTGAAGGAGAAGGTACTATGCAATAATATAAGTTACATATATAGTGTATTAGTAAGTATTAGGAAATTTTATTAATAATCACACTTGGGTAGAAAGAAGAAGAAAGAAGTGCTATCCATAGGTCTTCCTGAGCAAAAATGCCAAAGAACTTTTGACTTAACAATGTTTTGATGAAAAAAGGCAGAAATTGTCGGCTCCAAATCCATGAAGTTGTGACCTTCTTTGAGTTAGAATGTCTTGCCTTGGTATCAAAGACTTYATCAAAAATTGGTTTTAGTTTTTCTTAAAAATGTCAGAACTTCAATGTCAAAATATCTCAGCTCACAGTATCACTAGTTCCACAGTTATTTGTTTGTATTGTAATATGAAAA